ATGTTTTCATTAGAGCATAATCACAGGACAATAAGAATTATGTTTTTGTTACCTTAGAGTGAGCTGTTTTCATCTACAGGGAGTGGGTCTTCTTCTACGGAGTCTGCCATGTTTCTACAGTAGCCCAGCACGGACAAACCTAACACCGGCTCTAGAAAGGGCCTTTCACTTTTTTTTTTTGTGAGTTTTGCAGCCACTATAGTTTCTACATGCTCAGAAGGAGAGGGGGAGGCAAGGGCATTTTAATTAGATCCTACACACTGGATATGAACATCTAATTCAATCAGAATGCTGCTGGAAAAGGGCTCCAAACCCCGATTAAAGTTCCGAAAAATGAAAGCAGAATCACAGGAAATCTGAACAAATATGACAGATTTAGTCTGAAATGCATTAGATCAACACCCTTGGGCCAAAAACGTTTATTTCTGATACAGAAAAAAAGGTTTTCAGTTGGAAAGGATTGGCGAGGGGAGTGTAGCAGATGCAGTATTAAGGTGTCAGGTGCTCCCCACTGTGATCCAGATGGCTGCACCACAACACAGGCAGTGGGGTTGCACCACTACACACCCTGGGGAGACAGATATCATGCCAGCACACATTAAATTTAGAATGTAATCTACATGAGCTGGTAGGGGGTAGTTGGACCTGTGGGTAAGTGGTGGGCTGAGGGTGTGTTTGTCATTTTTGGGGCTGTTTATTATGCAAAGACTACTTCTGCATGTTGCTTCAAAACTTATTCCCTTTGATCCAACCATCAATTATATAAGAACTTGGCTCAGTATGTCTGACTGAGCCAAATACCAAGCAGAGACAGAGACAGACGATGCTAATGATGCTATATTTTATAGCAGGGCAGAGAATTGATTTTCATAAATTAGATTCATAATTTAAATTGTGTCTTTAAAGAGAGAAGGAGAGAAAAAAAAACTCCTAGGCGGGTTGATTGAGCCTGATTAGTCAGTTGCTTAATTGAATGTAATCAAAAGTGACATTTTAGACAACCACCAGAGTTGGAAATGTCCACAAGATGGTGCTCTGGATGGGCTTATCAATATGCATGGTGACAAACGGGGAAGTGAATCTGAGTGTGTGTGTGTGTGTGAGTTGGGGGCACAGAGAGAGAGAAAGAGAAAGAGCGAGGTGTTAGGCTCCCTGAATGCCAATAAGAAGCTGAAGGCCTATTTGCAGTATGTCATTCCCACCGCACAGCTGGGTTTTTCACTCTGTCAGGACTACCAGCAAAAGGTTAGAGCACCTGCACTCCTCCCTGTGACAGAAATAAGAATCAGTGTGTTTTGTCTGTGCGGGAGAGACAGAAGCAGCAAGCGCACAGCGAGTGTTTGCCTATGCAGATTTGCTTTTCACAGCCATTTCTGATAGCAGGAGTCGTCACAACCCAGACGCCAGTGTTTTGCAAAGCCTTAATGGCGACACACTCTTCTCTTAACTTCGTTCCTATACAACAATTTGAAATAAAACATAGATGCCATAGGTGTCAAGGACGTACATTATCAGCTTGAATTGAAATATGCCTTTAAATGATTAATGCTTGACTGACAGCTCGGCCTTATTTGATCTGGCAAAAGAGAACATGGTGAACAATTCAAAGCCAAGCACCCTTGACATTGGAAAAAAAAAAGTCATTGAATTAACGGATGCAGTTATGTTATTTGAAAGGTCGAAATGCCATTCAAATGAAATTAATAATCATGATCAAATGTGAAAAGTTATCTTGACATGGCTATTAAACTTAAATTTCTTTCTTCTTTCATAGGCATAGGCTGCAATCACATAAATCTGCCTGAAAAGGAAATACTTATTTATATTATATTTACTTTTTAAAAATCCCTTTGCTGAAACACATTCTGTCATTGATTTGTCATTGACAGACAACGGTTCCCCTTCTGGTAATCAGCATTTTGCCAACAATTTAGACAGCCAAGATTCAATTTATGATTAAGTTTTCTCTTCAGATCAGAGTTCAATGTCTTACTGTGTCTTCACAGTTACCCAGAATTCTCCGTGCTCACGCCTGCAGACTTATCTCATGTCAATCTGTATATTTTGCTTCAATCTTCAGTGGGTTGCTGTTTGATCGAGCGTCTGTCCCTCCAAACATCTGATTAAACCTATAGGCCTGCGGTACTTTTCCCCAGAAACACCAACATTTATTACAGTTTTACAAGGACTGGTGTCGGCTTTGCAGAGACTCCTTTGGAATAGTTGTGATTAAGCCTGTTATAATTTCATTAAAGCTTCTACATGTTGTTCTTAACACCTGGGGTACAGTCAGAAAGTCTTGATTAAGAGGGCTCTTTATTGAGTTAATTAAAGTTTAGGAGCCAGCCATGATTAAAAAGGTCTGAATTCTTTTAATGCCAGAAAAGAACGGTGATTTACTGGTATTTTCCCTGTCTCCTTTATCCTTCAGTAAGAGAACGGCATTCTGAAATTCCTTGCTCCAGAAGTATATAAAATGAAATAATGTCTTTGCATCAAGGTCAGGGAAGAAACAGAATTTTTAAGACTGTACAGATCCAACCCCAGGGTCTGGTAGGTCTTTGCCTGGGGAGAAAACTCAAAGAAAAACAAACAGAATCTCAACTTTGCCAAAAATAAACACACTAAATAAAGATTTAGATACTGAATATGCTTTAAAACTGGTGATACTCAATTGAACTTGCAGGTGAGAAGACATCTAGGTGTCGATTTTTGCAACTATTTCAACATGTATCTGCCAAGTGTTGAAGGATAGTCATTAAAATACTGTTGAAACCATTTTTATTTGGAATCAAGACATAACAACTTCACTCTTCAGCCAAACCTAGTCAAGATTAACCTAAATGCACCTCTAAATCTTTAAGACAATGCTTGAATTTGATCATATGATTCATACGAATTGTCATTGCAAAGATTTGGTTGCATTTATGCAACTAAAACTGCTGGGTTAAGGTTAGGGTTAGAGTGTGGTCATGGTTTACAAACTAAAGCTGACTCTCTCTGCTTTCATGTCAGGCACAGTGTCACACCACTTCCACCTTTACTTGTGAGAGATGTTAATATTCGCATGACCACATATATAAGAACGTACACTCACTGTTTGTTTCAGAAGAATTTGAACAAGCTGAAACAATCTACAACAATTTTGATTAATATTTGATTCATCTTTTAAGTCATTCATCAAGCAACATTGTCAAATAGTTGCTTGTTGCAGCTTCATCAGTGTGAGGATTTTCTGCTTTCCTCTCTATATCAATGTAAGCTGAGTATCTTTGTGTTTTGAGCTGTTGGTCTGACAAA